TTATGTTCTTTTTTAACTTATAATTTATATTTAAAATTAAAAATGCCCGCCTTATCGACAGTTCACACAATTTCGTTCAATAATTTGAACAGCGTATTGTCGCGTGCTCATTGGTAAACAAAGTAGTACTTTGAAATTTTAACAAACACTTCAATTGTATTCCACAATTCTGTATCAATAGAAATCTGAGCTGAAAGTTGGATTTTAAATTGTTCCGATTTTTCCCCGGAACAAATTTTGCGCATGGATAAATACATTAAACACCGTGAATTAGACCTTGCCCCCACGAGGGAGTTATTTTTGGAAGTTAATGTGAAGAATCCAGACGTGAATTTATTTGTTGATTGTATGGAAATCTGACTACAGTCGGTACATTCTATAACAGCCTCGTTATTTGACATGCCGTGATCAGAAACTGGGGAAACCGTGGCTGCGAGACGCGTGAAACTGATATCGTTTGAAGTGAGTGATCTTGTGACTGTAAATATAATGGTGCAATGCCATCGCATAAAGTTGATTATATGATAACAAAATCATATCATATAATAGGAAAATGACATCATGTAATGTGTAAACATGTCATATAATGCCAATACCGCATCACTTAATTACGAATGGTGTCATATAATGATGTTAACATATCATATGCTGATGATAACATGTCATATAATTAAAGCGTTTCATATGGCGGCCATTTTTTTACAATCCAAAAAATATGAAAAGCTCACTTGAAATTCCCAACACTTGGAAATTTGGACAAAAATGTGTACTTACAGTTTTTGCAATATTGACCCCATTTAGATAATACAAACTGAAATCACTAAATAGTATCTCAAATCACACATGTGCCTATATTATCATATGGTGTGGCAACATTATATATCCCTTCTATGAGAAGATTAATTTATAATAGTGTAACTGCAACTGCTATTTGCCGTGTATAAATACATTGTCCGAGCACTGCTGCTACGATTGCGTGACTACACGCTCGGAAAATAGTTCTTTACAAACATTATATAAGCCATCCCCGCACTTGAATCGACTAATATTCTATTTTTGTCAAATGCAACTGATTTTTTTTTTTTTTAAATTAATCAATTATAAATAAATAATAGGACAGCTATGTTTTATTTAGATTTTTTTTTTATTAAATAAATACCTACAATTCGTGATATGATTTAAATATTAAAAGGGGAAATACCCTCCATAGTATTCATTTACTACCAATAGACTTCATTGTTGAGTGATTTACACCACGCTTGGAAATTTGAGAGAAAACTCATTGTATTTTTCCAGCATGTTCTACAGTTTGTATTAAACGGACAGTTCGGTGATGGATTCTATTTCACACTGAAGAGTTAAAATTCCGGAAGTCACTGATGTCTTTGACACAAAATGCAGCTGGTTTAAGAAGAGATTGGTAGGAAACAGTAGGTAATTAATCCTGTTTGACTATTTGAAAATGGGTAAAATCGACAAGGGATTGCAATGCGACTGTCAAGTAAATCGAACTATCTTAAAATGATAAGTTGGTTTTCCACGTAATGATATTCTGTGGTAGGGTCCCCACTGAGTCTCTTTGTTTGTTAGGGTGGGTGGTATTATGTCCGCTATATTACTGAGTAATTTGGATCTCACTCAGACGATATTTAACCAGAAGTTATTTGTTTGTTGAAGTGTTTTACATCGGCTTCTCTACCGCGGAATTCGGTACCTTAACAAACGAATCACATTAAGACAATCCACCTCTGTATATACGTACAGTTGACGATGACAGTGACGTCACTAGATGTTCGATTCCCGTATCCGTTACTGGCCGTACACCTGTACACTCCCCTCTGACCACGTTGTATTTTGTTGAGCTGGAGCTCTGACCCTGTTGATTGGGACTGTCCGTCCTTTGTCCAGATGTAGGTACAGGCTGGGTTACAGTCAGAAGAACACGTGACGGTAGATAGAGTGTGTCCTTCTGTTAAAGTGTAGGATGTAGTTGGTGGTGTCAGCTGTACAGCTGATGGACCGTCTAGAATGATAAAATAGTCAATATATAAATTGTACTAGAACATATTTGTTTTGTCCATTTAATTCATTTTGTAGATATAATCCAATCTCATTCCTCATGGCACTCATACAAATGACCTTGTCTACATCTTATATGTGTTTGCTTTTAATCTGAATAGCACAAATCATATTGATTCTTGACATTTTGACACCTTAACTGAACTGTTCTGTAACAATATATATTTTTTGAAAATGCATAAGACTCATTTCTTATTGTTACTTTACTACTTTGTAGTCTTCGCAGATTTTTTTATTTCCAAACGAACATTAGCCAAGTTATGTAAAAGTTCAATAATTGTATCTGACAAATATGGAGCACCAACTCCAGTACTGTTAAGATCCTACGTCATTTGGATGTTAATTCAACGTTAAACCACGTTTTTATATATACAACTTCAACATTATGTTACAATAATGTGTACTACTTTTACTTAAATTCAGGGTTAGTTTAACATTATTAAAGCGTTTAAGAAATTTCAAAGTTATTTCGAAATTCCTATGCTGGGAACATTGTAAACGTTAATTTTACGCTGAGTTCTATAATGGAAAACATTACAATGTCATACCGAAATTAGAATTTTAGGTTAATATCATAACCTGAAAAAAGCAGAAGCCTACCTTGAATAGCAAATCTCCTACATTTTCTTTGACTAAAACAGGCTTACTAACAGTGCTGAATGCTGGTATAACTTACACATCACAGAAACAATTACAGTTGAAGTTAACTCCCCGACAACATTCCTAGCCGTACATCTGTACGTCCCGTGTTCTGATCTATCCAGTTGTCCCAGTGACAACACAGCTGAGGCAGTAAAGTTGGTGTTGTCAGGTTTTGTCCAGACAAAGGTACAGCCAGGTATACAGTCAGCTGTACATGTGATGTCCGGTAACGTGTCCCTCTCAGTCCTGGTGTAGGTAGTGTCCGCTGGGGTCAGTGTAACAGTACCAGGGCCATCTACAATACATTATAAACGTTGTTTATTGGACAAGCAAGCTTTCCCAACAATGTAGACAATATAAGGTTGTCATTGTTTGGAGCAATCAACTCCTTTATCAGGACACAGAAAAATACACAGGAAAACACAGAATACTTACATTACATATATATGATAGGATAATGTTAAAAATAGAACAATAAACCCATCAGTTACTGTAGGTAAAAGGCAGAATTACACTGACCGCACCGTTGATGCTATGTGTGTGCAAATATCGACAAAGAAACTCTAAAATAACGGGAGACTGAAGAGTGAAGAAAGATGCTGAAGCTGGAAAAAAAATACACAATGTGTCAAGTGATAAACAAATCTAATATGGAGTTGAGTCTCTTGAAGTATAATTTATAATAGATACATATATGGTAAATATAATATCCCTGTGGGTTGCGAGTTAGGCGTTACAGTGTACAACTAAGTGACGAAATTAAGGTCGCACAATGGCCCAGGGTTCGACAGTAAGTTGAACTCCAGCTCTAAGTGATGTGACTCTCAATTCTTGCCGATTTTCGGACATTTAGCGACCAGGCTATGGTTTCCCATGAGCTTCAGGTCAGTCACAGTCGTCCAAGTCATGTTCGAGACGGGTTGTCGTATACCCCCGCATACACGTTAGATGGTTAATGGCAATGGAAATGTCAATCTCTGTATTCTGGTTTAAATTTTTGATCCAATAGCTTTTTGATATTTTGTGGTGGGCTACCTGAACTATCAATTTTATCTCTTTCGTCAAGAGCACATTTTCCCATCATTTTCTCGATAAAGAAAGAGGAAGTAAGACCACATTCATATTAAAGCTTCAGTTCCTAGGCTTATACAAAACACCGAGAAGACCGCAATACGGATAATATAAGAAAACGATGCGGAAACGGCCATACATTTCTGGAATTGAAAAAATAGCTCACCTGGTCCGAAGCCTAGCGTCCGTCGTCCGTCCGTCAGCTTCGTCTTTAAAACGCTACTTGTCCTAAATAGCTAAGTAGATTTTGACTAAATTTGGTCTGGAGCAGCAAAGGAGACTCAATTTTGTATAAACGGTGGGTGTGGCCTCCCTGGGGGCAGAAGGGCGGTGCCAAACAATGGAAATAGAGGTAAAACCTTTCAAATCCTTTTTCTACCGTAGGAATTAAGGGAATTTTCTTCTAATTTTGTCTCGAGCATCTTTTGACCAAGGGAACACAATTTTGTATAAACGGTGGGTGTAGCCCCCTTGGGGGCAGTGGGACGGAGCCGAATAGGGGAAATAGAGGTAAAACCTGTAAAATCCTTCTTCTACCATAGGGATTCAGGGATTTTATCCTAAATATGTCTTGAGCATCCTTAGGCCAAGGGGACACAATTTTGTATAAACGGTGGGTATGGCCTCCCTGGGGGCAGGGGGGGGGGGGGGGGGGCCAAACATTGGAAATAGAAGTAAAACCTTTAAAATCCTTCTTCTTCCGTGGGATTAAGTGATTTCATTCTAATTAGTCTCGATCATTTTTCGGCGAAGGGGACTTAATTTTGTATAAATGGTGGATGTGGTCCCCTTTGGGACAGAGGGGCGGGGCAAAAGAGGGGAAATAGAGTTAAACCCTTTAAAATCCTTTTTCTGTCGTAGGGATTAGGGGATTTTATCCTTATTCAATCTGGAGCATCCTTGGGCCAAGGGGACTTAATTTTGTATAAACAGTGGATGTGGCCCCCTTTGAGACATAAGGGCGGGGCCCTTCTTATATCGTAGGGATTAAAGGATTTTATCCTTTTTAGTCTGAAACTTTGATATAGAGGAATAGCTTTAATATCCCTCTGCCTTCCGTTAAGATGAAGGTATTTTTACCAAATTTGAACAGTAGCATCCTATGGGGAAGGGAAAAACATTTTGTGTAAATGTTGTGTCTGAACCCTCTGGGGGCAGAGAGGCGGGGCCAAATAAGGGATATAGAGGAATAGCTTTAATATCCTTTTTCTTCTGTTAGGATGAAGGTATTTTGACCAAATTTGAACAGTAGCATGCTATGGGGAAGGGATATCAATTTGGTGTAAATGGTGTGTCTGACCCCTCTAAAGCCTGAGAGGTGTGGCCCAATAGAATTCATTTAGCAAATTCTTAAAAATTATTCTTCTGAAGGAATAACAGGATTTTGTCCATATTTGGTCTAAAGCATTATTTGGTAAAGGCGACCTGATTTTGTATCAAAGGTAGGTTTGAACCTCCTAGGGAAACATAGCAAATTCTTCAAAATCTTTCTTTTCCTGTAAGAATGACAGGATTTTGTCCAATTGCATATAAATATAACCCCTGACTATCCATGTAGTACATTTACACTACCAGCAACATCTAGCTATTCCAACTTCAATTTTACTAACATTTCAAGGTGAGCGATACAGGCCCTCTGGGCCTCTTGTTTATGTTAAAATCATAAGGATGAGGCCAACAGAGGAAGGGTTGGCACACATGCAATAACTTCACAATTGTTCAAACAAGAGGCAAAGAGGGCCTGTATCGCTCACCTGGATATCTAAGCAATTATGACAAAATATTGCGCAGCAATTTGATGTATGGTTACGGGGTGGGGATCTCAACTGTTTCCAAGCTGTGACTCATAAACCCCAGGATCAATTATAATATCATGACTGCATTCGTCTCTTTTTGCCCGTCATTTGTATTTATAGATTTGGAGTGGGGATCTCAACCGTTTCTAAGTTATGACCCAGGGGTTAAGACTGCAAGGGTGGGGCAGACCCTGGGGTCACCCGTGAAGCATATGTGCATTCATCTCTTTATACTCAGCAATTGTATATATGGTTATAGGGTGGGGATCTCAACTGTTTCCAAGCTCTGTCTAAGAAACTAGGTCCGTATGGGTTCAGTCAGACCCCAGGGTATATTATATTATCATGACTGCAGTTGTCTCTTTATGCCGAGCATTTGTATACATAGTTTTGGGTTGGGGATCTCAACCGTTTTAAAGTTATGGCCCAGGGACTATGTCTCCAAGGGTGGGGCTAGACCATAGGGCCATCCTGAAAGCAAATGTGCATTCTTCTCTTTATACTCAGCAATTGTATATATGGTTATACTAGTGGGGATCCACTATATCAGTGGGGATCAGTGGGGATCAACCAAGTAATAAACTTTGTTTGACCCCACTCCTTAGCCCGGGGGGGGGGGGGGGGGGGGCCAGCCACGCCATTTGTACATTTTTGAACCCCTGCCTCCCATGAATGCTTCCGACCAAATATGATTGATATCCATGGCATAGTTTTACAGAAGAAGTCGTTAATAGCAATATAGCCAAATTGCCCCATTTTGGCCCTGCCCCTCAGCACCCTGGGGAGTCAGCCCCACCATTTGAACAATTTTGAATCATTACCACCTCAGGGATGCTTCCGACCAAATATGATTGATATCCATGTTATAGTTTTACAGAAGAAGTCGTTAATAGCAATATAGCCAAATTGCCCCATTTTGGCCCCGCCCCTCAGCACCCTGGGGAGTCAGCCCCACCATTTGAACAATTTTGAATCATCACCACCTCAGGGATGCTTCCAGTCAAATATGTTTGATATCCATCACTTAGTTCCAGAGAAGAAGTCTCTTAAAGCAATATAGCTATATAACCCTTTTTAGTCCCCGCCCCTCAGCCCGCTGGGTGGTCAGCCCCCTATTTGAACATTTTTAATTCCTGCCTCCCATGAATGCTTTTGATCAAATATGATTGATATCCAGTTCATAATTCTACAGAAGAAATCGTTTGAAGCAATATAGCCAAATTGCCCCCTTTTGGCCCCGCTCTCGGCACCCTGGGGAGTCAGCCCAACCATTTTAACAATTTTGAATCATCACCACCTCAGGGATGCTTCCAGTCAAATATGTTTGATATCCATCACTTAGTTCCACAGAAGAAGTCGCTTAAAGTAATATTGCCATATAACCCTTTTTGGCCCCCACCCCTCAGCCCCCTGGAGGGTCAGTCCCACCAGTTGTACAATTTTGAATCCCTGCCTCCCATGAATGCTTTTGATCAAATATGATTGATATCCAGTTCATAATTCTACAGAAGAAATCGTTTGTAGCAATATAGCAAAATTGCCCCCTTTTAGCCCCGCTCTCAGCACCCTGGGGGTCAGCCCCACCATTTATACAATTTTGAATCCCCACCACCAAGGGATGCTTCCAGTCAAGTATGGTTAATATCCATCACTTAGTTCCAGGGAAGAAGTCACTAAAACCAAAACAGCCAAATTGTCCCCTTTTGGCCACGTCCCTCAGCCCCCTGGGGGGTCAGCCCAACCATTTGTACAACTTTTAATCCTCACCACCAATTGCAATCAGTGGAAAAGGAGAAGAAGTCGTTTAAAGCAATTGTTGACGTACAGACGACGGACGACGGACGGACGACGGACGGACGACGGACACAACGGTTTGGCATAAGCTCATCTGTGTCCTTCGGACCATTTGAGCTAATAAAGGCAAACGATCATGTGTTCATGTATTCTGTTTTTGGTTTCAATATCACTTAACTAAACGTAGACATACGTGTACTTTCTTGGCCCTGTTGACCCCGGCCGGTTGGCCCTATCAAGTCCTAATATTCAATATTTAATAGTGTTTTTAGATGCAATACTATTAAACGTATCTTAAGACAATAGTCATAGGAGTATTTGGTTAAATTAGTTCAAGTGCTATTTATTATTATTTATGTTTTTAAAGAGTAACTTGGAAAACAATATACTAACTAGCAAATCTCATGAGAGGAAAATAAGTGTTGATCTAATTTCTTGGATTGTGAAAAATAAAATTTGATTGAAAATATTTTATTTTAGAAATAAAAATGGAATTATGTATCAAAACGCTTTCAAGAAAGTTAAATCTGAAAATTAAAAAAAAAACAAGATCCCATAAGAATTGGCACCCACTATCGTACCATTTTATTAGTTCCATGTCCGTTCAATCTTTTCCCCTACTTTATCTTATCTGATTGGTCAGTCTGCATGGCAGCCCTCCTGTTCTTCTGATCAGTCTCAAACGTAACCATGCATAAATTAGGACTAAGGGGAACCAACATATCAATTTTGAGAAATAACAATAACAAACTTAATCTGTAACAAGATGGTCAACTGTCTGCACTCTTTTTTTTCTGATCGAGCCAAAAAATAAATGATATGAATTTATTTATTTAATTCAAGTTTACAGGTAAAACAACTTTTACATGTATGCTCAAAACAGCTTGATTTGTTGAGATGCTGTGTTGCGTATTTTATTAGGTACAATGTAGGGTAGCAAGACATGTAGTGCCTTACTTGCATTACTTAATTTACAATGGGATACCTGTATGACTGATAAATGACTAGATAAATAGTAGGCCAATACATTCATCGAGGCGCCCAATAAATTCAATAAACCGAATTTTACACCCAATTCAGACAGATGTACACCATAATAATAAGTATTTCGCTGTATCCAGTGGTCAGACTATAGGTTGTTTCAATGGGCTCGCCCTAATTACAACCTTGGACCTGTAAACTAACATATGATTATCTACAAGCTCCATTAAGGATACACTAATATTAATTACTCTTATTAACAAGAG